AATATAGAGACAAAGATATGAAATACTTACTGTATTATACTTCCCTGTCAAATTTTACTAGAATATCAAGAAACTCACTGAGGAAAGTTCACATGGATGTAGAAGTAAAGAAAAATAATAAAACCATACATTTTCAAAAAAATTTTAATTATCTTAACCAAGTGCAGTCATTAAATTTGTACTATGAACAGATCACAGTACTGAGCTCTAGGATTTAAAAAACGGTGAGAGGGATAAGATGCTGCCCATGACGGGGCTCCAGCGTGGTGATGGTCACGGAGCACTTGTGCAAGGTTTCAGAGTGAACGCAGCAGTGCAGGTGTGGCCGTCGGTGTACAGATGGGCTCGAAGTTCTCACTCGGCATTCTGTGGTTAAAGTAGCTTTGTTATGGGGTGAACCGCTTGAGGTGTGTAAACCTCGGTTGTTAGTTTGGGTTGGGATAGTCGTTATTGGTACTGTTGTATAAATCTTAGAGTAATTATGCCTACCTCATAACGCATAATGAGCATTAAGATAAATTGTGCGTAGATATTGCTACACAAGAGTTGTGCACCTTGAGGTTGTATATGTGGTACATTCCTGATGGGTGGACCTGCACCCGAGGAGGCGGAGTGGGGCACCCTTCCCCTGCTGGCCAGGGCCTGGGAGGAGGAGAGAGCCCAGCTTGTCAAGTGTGGTGAGGGAGAGCCGAAGGCGGCCGGCCTTGGGAGACCAGAACAGGGCTTCTTCAAGGCAGTTCCCTACCGTAGTGTTTTCAAGTGGAAACACACACGCAGCACACAGAGACTTAGACAGATGTGGGTATAAAATTGACGCAGACACACACTGACTATTCTTCTTCAGCGTGCTTAGGGCCAGAAGTGTTTCAGATTTACAAGTTTTTCAGATTTTAAAATACTCACAAAGATTTTACTATTAACACCTCTAATGTAGAAATCCAAACCTCTAACTGCTCCAGAATCTAAAACTCAATGAGAGATATTCAAAAAGGTTAAGATTTTGGAGCATTTTGGATTTCAGACTTTCCGATTTAGGCACCCTTGACCTATATGGACATAGATACAGACTCACAAACACAGACCTGCGTATACAGTAGAGTTCTGCCTAAGTGTGCGATACACGTAGGAGATCTGATGAGGAAGTGGAGTGAGGAGGAGGGAGGCCCTCGGTGAAGTCACGGCAAGAATGCACAATGAGAGCACCGGGCTGGGGCGAGTCTTCCTCTTGCTGGGGTCCATGGTAAATCAGTTTCACTACTATAAGTCAAGGAGGTTAGGTTCAGCCATGATTCTCAGATCTATGTAATAACCTATGTTATTACATAAAGAACTATGTCATTACATAAAGAACTTCCTACTAAGAGATGCAAATTGAATTAAAAGCAATCTCAAGCTGGGCCTAGTAGTGCAGACCTGTAATCCCAGCACTCTGGGAGGCTGAGGAAGTAGGGCTGCAGATTTGAGCCCATCCTAGTAATCTAGAAAGACCCTATCTTAAAATTTAAGAATGAGAAATGGACTGGGGATGTAGCTCAATGCAAGGGCTCTGGGTTCAGTTTCCAGTACGGGGGGAAGAAAAGCAGCCCCAAGTGATTTTAAGGAGCAGTAGAGAGAGGGTCAGTGGAACAGGTAACCTCTTAGGATCTGCAGAATTGGTGCCCAGGGCCACCTGGTCTGGAAGGAGCAGTGGGTCCCTCTGTGTGTCTGCAGTGTTCGTCAGAACCAGATTGTAAACCAGAGACTAAGAGTCTATTTGTAGACAGTCAAGCATTAGTGAAGATTTTTGTGGAGGGGAATATATTGAAAGTGAAGCTCTAGAAAAATTTCAAGTGTCTGTATGTAATAAAAGGAAAAGCAATTAAAAGTACATGTGTGAACTACGCTGTTAATAAGCAAAACAAAATAAGATGCACTAGGCTGGGAGTGGTGGTATACACCTGTAATCCCAGCACTGGGGAGGCTGAGGCAGGAGGATCACTGTGAGTTCGAGGCCCACCTGAGCCATAAAGTGGGCTCAAGGCCATCCTGAACTGTGTAGTGAAACCCTGTCTCAAAAAGGCAAATAACAAAACAAAGTGAAGCAAAACATCAAAAAACAAAATAAGATGAGCTTTTGACTATAGTAGTCCAGCGGAATCTTGCCCCAATTTAAGCTGTGGGATAATTATCAGAGGAATATGTGCTACGATGTGGATCTGAAAAGGGATGCTGCTAAAACCAGATGTGGTTTGAAATGAAGTTTGGCCCTCATATGCGAAGTGTGTTTCTAAATAAACCAAGGAAGGTTCCATTTAGAGGAGTTCGTCTGCCGTAATTATTTGGTCGAACCACGCCCATTCTCTCAGCTTCCTCCAAATAGTGCACCGGAGACGGTAAAAAAAATACCCTCACTATGCCTCTGCCTTTCAGAAACACAAACAAACAAAGGATCACTTAGCAATTGCATGAGTTTTTGTTTAAAAGGCACTGTGGAGGACCCAGCAGCCCTGGTGCCCAGGGAGTCTCACGGCTCCCAAGCCAAACTAGCATCATCCCAGGTGGCAGAACCTTGGGAAACGTTCTGTATCCGAGTCCTGGGATCTCATAAAACTCAGTGACTGCACTGATTGCATGATGCCCTTCGTCAGTCCCTGGAGAGATTCCTGGAGATGCCATTTTCGCACGGAATCTGAGCTCCCTGCAAGGCTCTGTGAGGTTAACTTGTCCCATCATGTCCCGTGAATGTTAATGGACAGCCTCAGGTATTTATATTCATAATACTGTGTTGCAGTTAAGCTCACTGGGTTCACATAGACAAGGTCTAGGTTTGCATTCTAACTCACGCAACTTATGACAGATGAATAGCATAACATTACTATCAAATTGTTACAGGATTTTCCTCTGCTGGTTTTGAAGAATGTCCAACTAACATATGTCCTGCAGGACTTAATTTCAAGCCTAACTCCCTAAGTCTGTGTTGTCCTTTGCATTCTAGGAGGATTTCCAAATTAGTGTTAGTAAAGATTTATGAACTCCTCAGAGGAAGAGTGCTGCTAACCAGCAAATAAATGGTCATGTTACTGGATTTCTTACAATTACATTTTCACTTTTAAAACATGTTAATGGAAGAATTACTTCAAGGTATGTTTTAGAATGAAACCTGGGTGTATGTAAACATAGCACACTTCCATGAGTTTTGCAGACACGTTTTGTTGACTGAGTGAATTTAACAAGAAAGCACTGAGAGAGCTGTAATGCAGATTTATTACTATGTGACATTAAAGCCACGTATCAAGGGTGACCCAGTTAAGAACATGTGTTAAACCTCTTATTTTCAAAGTAATGAGGAACCTGTTTGGAGTTAGTTAGATCCTGTTAAGAGGATAGTGTGGAAGCCACCTCCACTGGGAAATAACTAAGCACCTGGCATTAATGGACAGGACAAATGTTTACTAAATTGAGTGCTTAAGTCCAAGGTCTTTGTTGGATTCGTGGCCTCCACATCCACTCCACCCCAAGTGTGGGATAGGAAATCCCCTCCTAAGTGAAACTGACTTGTAACAAGCTGCTTGCAGCACTTAGAAGGTCAAGCAGGAGTCGGTATTAGTTTTGCCTCCCTGTAACTTTGTCATACAGAAACTGGACCTGCAGGGGATTGTAGGAGCTACACTCGGCTTTGATAATTCATGAGTGGTTCTGCTGGAATCTCAGTGTCTGTACAGATCACCTGGGAACTGTTGGGAAATTCAGGGTCTGAGGCAGCAGGCCCAGGTGAGGCCTGCAACTCAGCATTTCCGACCAGCTTCCCAGCGATGCTGATGGCGCTGGCCAGGGCCTCTCCTGTACAGCGGCTGGCTTACCGGGGTGGCCCACAGTGGTCAGAAGGGGTAGGTGTGGTTCAATGGAAGCTGATTCCCAAGGCCAGTTACGTGAACAGAGCTCATGTGGCTCCTCTGAATCTAGATTTTCTCATTAGAAAAATGAGTGTAATAATAAAACAATACCTACCACATGCGAGTGTTGAGAGAATTACATTAACAATATTATGGGGAAATTTACGAGAACGTATGGTGCATAGTCATTGTTAAGTGATGAATAATAAAAACGTAAGCACACGGCCCTGCATTGGTACCAGTAAAGACGGGGGACAGGTAGGCTGGGTGCTGGCTGTAGTTCAGGGTTTCTCTTCTTCAACACCCACCACCACCACCATTTGCAATATTTAGGACTTCGCAGGAATCAGCAGCAAAGTTACTGCCGTCGAGAGTACATCTTTGCCTTCAGAGACATTAATATGAAGATAATGAGGGAATGTCTTCTATAGTACTGTCCAGAAAGAGAACATCCACCCGGCCTTGACTTCTCCTTGAGTGAAAGTGAATCACCAGGAGAAGCCTCAAATCGGGAAGACAAAACCATCTCTGATTTTCAGTAAAAGCTCATTGTTGTTTGCCTGCCCTCAGGCAAACACAGTTTTCTCCCTTGGATGTAAAACTAAAGATTAACCCTGGCAGTCAGGCCTGGCTTGTCCCTGGATGGCGACTCAGCCACCATTAGGAAGTCAGCCTGCCGTGCTATAGTCAGAAACAGGGCACAGATCCTCCCCATACCCTTGTAAACACGTTCTGGTGCCACCGGGTTATGCCCCAACATTGTTCTTCTGAAGACCAGTGTTTCCTGTTAACAGACTTTTAAACTATCAAGCAAAACTCTCAAAAAGTGCGTAGCAGACTGGGGATTTAGCCCAGTAGGAGAATGCTTATTACTGAGTGTGCACGAATCAAAGACTCAGTCCCCAGTACCAAGGAGAAAGAAGGTGCTTAGCAAGAAACAGAAGGTAGAAACTCAGTCCAAAACCTGCAGCATCAGCTCCAGGCATGGTCTAGGTTAACTCACCTGCAATATGTTCCAGAATGAACCAGATAATCATTGCTAAGAGAAATGAGATTTTAAGGTCTAATCAAAGGATTTAAACCAAATGTTAATAAAAGATGTTCCCCACCCCCCCTTATTATCTGTAGGTCCCAGGAGAAAAAAGAAGAAGCTGTTGCCTTGCTGAAGGAGTCCATCAAATATGGCCCAGAATTTGCAGATGCGTATTCCAGTTTAGCTTCCTTATTGGCTGAGCAGGTAATTGTTTCCATTTAATTTAGCACGGCAGTTTTAAATGTTCCTGTTGAGTCTGTAAGGTAATGTTACGCAGATTTTTGTACTGATGGTTTGACTAGTGATTGATAAGTTCATAGTGAACATCTAATCTTTATGTCAGTTTCCTTGACAGAAATTAGAACCCTTGTTCCCCACCCCCAGTGCTCCCTGTGCAGCAAAGGTGGCCTCCTTTAGCCCACAGTGGTGCATGGTGGGTCCCGGTACATTCCCTGTCACTCTGGGACAGAGTCTGTCAAGAATAATACGTGACATTTGGCGCTTTTATTGCAATTTACTTGTCACGTTTTTCTGGTGGATCACTTGTGGGCCGAAGTCTGTGAGCTCAATATGGAACTAATTATTGACAGTCTCTGGGATCCTGTGTCTTCGTGCCCGTGTGAAAATAACAGGCTTGCGGGATGGGCCCTAAGAGGACATTTGCAAGGCACAGGCAGACATAAGTTCTGAACCCCTCTTTTGTCTCATTTGTCTAAATGACTTATGCCACTTTTGAGAGTTCCGGACACATGCCCCTGGCTACAGGGAGGCAGATATAACTCGTCCTCTACATGGATGACACAGTTTTGCTAACACGTAAATTCCTTGCTAGACTTAGATTCTGTTATCACACAATTGCCAGATTGTCTTTAAAACTGAACAGCTTTCAAGATGTCTTACACCATTCACTCAGCTTCAACATAAGGAAAGATTTGATACTGTATCGGTTAGTTAGGGTACAATTCACATTCAGAAAAATCGTGGGACTTCCACCAAGAAGCAAAATTAGGACAGTCTATGTGTGATAAATATCGTGACCTGGTGTTCTCACTTTAATGCAGTTATCCTTCAGCATCTGCACAGAAGCAGTCCAGGGTCTCCCTTGCCCAGATCCGTACTAGGAGAGGGCAGTCTTTGTTTATGTCTTATAAATTCTTTGTATCTCTGGATTATGTATAATATCTGATACAAGGTAAATACTGTGTGGATAGCTGGAGTATTTAGGGAAGGAAGACAAGAAAAACATTCATTGCAGACATAATGTTTTTCCTGAGTATTTTTGATCTATGGTTTGCTGAATCCGTGAATGGGGAAGATACAGAGGCATCCAGGCTGGCCAGGGGGGTAGGTCGGCTTGGGCGGAAACCCTCGTTTGTGGTGGATTGTTCTCTTGGTTTTTGGTTTGTTTGCGTGTGTGCTTGTTTTGTGGTAGTGGGGATTAAACCAAGAGCCTTCTCACTGAGTTACGTCCCCGGACCAGTTTTCATTTTTGTGTTTTGTATTTGCTAAGTCACTAAGGTGCCCAGGCTGAGCTTAAACCTTCGGTCCTCCTGCCTCAGCCTCCTGGGGTGCTGGGATTATAGGCGTGCACCACTACACCCTGCTTCTTGCATATGGTCGTGTTCTCCAGGGTACACTGGTGTGCTGGGCTGGCCTGGGCGTGTGGAAGTGGGCACAGGCAGGTTCCTTGAAGAGACTGGTTCTACCCATCACCAGCCGTGTTTCTCCCCCTATCCGGGCTCCTCCCTGCTCTGCGCCCCTCCGCTTGGCTGGCGGCCCCACGTGCTTCCTCTCCACACACTGCCCCTCCGCCACACATTTGTCCTCAGCAGCCGGTCCTTGCCGCCTCACAGGTCTTCTTTGTGAGGCCCTCCCGCTCCCCACCGCGTGCTATCACGTCCTCCTCGCCTGTCTCATTTCCTTGTTACCCTCTCTGACGACGCACACCTTGGCTGCCCTGACCTCCTCACACCCACCTTGCCCGATGTGGTGGCGGCCGTTAGCCATGACCGAGTGCAGCCGTGTGGACGGAAGAGCACACAGCCCCATCCCAGTGCAGGATCCCGTCCCGCTCATGGGCACTCGAGCCCGGCCGCGCTGCCGTGAGCCTGGGCTGCGTCTCAGCAGGGACGACCCTGTCTCCTGGGACCTGGAGGAGAATCTACATGGGACCCTGAGTGTTGTCACCGCCTCACTGTCACCAGCCACCGCCGAGGGACGAGGCCCACACGTCAGTGGGCCCTCGGAGACTGCTTGTGAGGGCTTGGGGACCCTCTGCTTCAGCGCAGAAAAGGCGAGGCTTCGGAATGAGGGGGGGCTCTGTTCTACGTTTAACCCCACGCAGGAAGAGTCCTGTGATTGCTAGAGCGACCGCATCCCCTCTGCTCACCCCAGCTGCAGCCGCCTGGACTGCACCTCCGCTTCTCTCCCTGCGTGGTCTCACTCCTGGGCGCGTCATCTTTTTGGTCATTTTTTGCAGTGATTGATTTTGTTTGGTTCGGATTCTATATTTTTGAAAACTGCCCCAATTGCATTGTGGAGTTATGAGGTATGAGGAAGTAGACAAATGAAGCATTGTGTTAATAGTTAGCAGTCGCTCACCTCTCCAGGAATGTGTCCTTGTTCTTCTTAAGGAAAATCACCCGTGCTAAGCGGCAGTGTCACTTCCTACATCAGTGGGGATTCTTCACAAGTAAGACCGGGGTTCGTGTGTCTTCACACTCTCCTGCACCTTCCTTTCTGTCTCCCCTTCTAAATCTTCCCCCACCTCAAAAACAGTCACACCACCGCTTCTTCTCACTTCCTTCCACCTCCCTGTTCACGTGAGTTACTTTTCCAAAGAGCTTCGTTTGTAAGAATCCTCAACACGCAAACTTAACCACATTTTCATGTCTTGGATTAGTAACTTGCATTAAAATGTAAATATTATGTTGGCTTTTGGGGTTTCAAATTTATCTTCCCCACTTAGGAGTGCAAATGTAAGAAAACCCGCGTTGTCTTTATCTACCTGCTCCCTCTCGGGCCAGCGTAGCCCACTGTGCAAGGCGGGCTGCGGACAGCGGCTCGTGACTTCATCCGCTCTGGGATTTGGTTGCCTGGGACCGGATCAAGACCACTCTTTACACACACATACAAAAGAGATTTTGTGTGTATGTACAGGATAGTTAACATAGTTGTTCTACTGTCTTCTATTTCTTTGCTGAAAGAAACTGTCAGTGAGTCCTTGGTTGACCAGTATTGCATGTCTCTATCTGTTTTCATGAGAAACCAGTTTGAAGATATCAATATGTAATACAACAAGCATTGTTAATTCCCTACCACTTTGTTTGTAACTCTGTATTGTCTGTACTGTTCTTTTGCTATTTTGTAAAAGGTTGTCTGTCTGTCAATGTTTTCCTCCTTTTATTTTACAAAAGAAAAGACCACTCTTTACAGTAAACAACAGCATAGGCTTGCGCCAGGAAGCCAACACCTCTCGGGAGCTCAGTTTTCCAGTCTGAAAGTTGATAAATACTCTGAATTAACCTTAATGTAGCTAATGGCTCTGATGGTTTTTTTGTTTTGTTTTGTTTGAGACAGGGCCTTGCTATGTCGTTCAGGGCAGCCTTGAGTTCACTATGTAGTGCAGGCAGGCTTCAAATTCATAGTGATCCTCCTGCCTCAGCCTTCTGAGGGCTGGGATTACAGGCATATGCCGTTATGGCTGTAACATTTTAAAAATATCTAAAACTGTCTTCTTGAACATCATCTAAGTTCTAATGAATAATTTAATGAGTAACTCAGGGCTCCACCATAATTAGTGCTATCATTTCTATACAACTAAAATATTAATATGCTAATATTACAAAAATAATTTGCCTTAATAAATATCCCAAAGTTTCAGTTGTATTCCTTTTCTAAATTAATGAACCCTCTGCTCCTAAAAAGATAATACTTTAAAAGTTGATGCAGATGTTTAGAGAATTTGAAATTTATTTTAGTCCGTCCTTCAGCATCTTTGAATTTATTCTTACTATCAACAATTTTTGTGGCAGTTGGAAGCTTTTTTCTTGCCATTAGAAGGCAGTTGAAGTTAGTTAAAGCAGAAGCAAAAGCAAATGCAGTTTTCGGATAAAATTTTAAAAGCACAGGCCAGATACTTTTTCCTCAGTTATTTTTAAGAAGCGTCAAGTGGATAGTTAACATTGATTTCTTGATAAGCCTGATTTTGGTGAACCACAGTGGCACACTGATATAAAGCTCCTGCACCTCACATCATGGAAGTTGTGAACAATTGTTAAGGAAAAAAATGACAGCCGAGCCCCTGATCTTTTCTGACATACAAAGGTTACATCTTTTGGCAGTCTTTCTTGTGCAGGATGTGAATATCAAATGCTATGTGATCTAACAGAGAATCCAGTGGAAAGATTGAAGGCTTCTTCTTTCTCCTGCCCCTTGGGATGACTGGGGCAGGGCAGCCTCTTTGAGACCCGGGCCTCCCTGCCTCTCTGACTCCTACACCTGTCCTCATGTCTGGAGTTCCTTTGTAAGGAAAGAAGGCTTCACAAGCGCAGGCCAGGCACAGAGAAGTGGTTAGAGGGAGATCCAGCCAACCTAATATTCTTTGGTAGCAAAGGAATTTGTTTCCTGGTGGCTCCGCGTTATTTAGCAGTATTGCAGCATTTCAACTCACCAAGAATGGGAAGCAAGGTTTACAAACCAGTCACTCCGTGGAACACTCAGCTGAGCAGGTTGTCTTCCAGGGACGCCGTGTCCACATGGTGGCCCATGCTACCCAACCAATGCCAAAAAACGTCACTGAAGTAAATTCCCCATTCTGCAGGTGTGTTTACAGAACTCATGTAAGAGGATTTGCCTTTCTCTGCATTTAATTTCAAGGTCTTTGTATCTGCCTGAAATTCCTGATTTTCTAGGACATTTTTTTTCTGCCATTCATTTTACTGACTACACTTTCCAGCTATTTCAGTGGGAAGATTTGATAAGAATAGCTTCCCCTTATTTATATCTTTAATTTTTGAAAGCTGTTGTGAATATTAGTGGCCGATGTAGGAACTTCTTGGTTGCTTGACCTCTCTCTGACCCAAGTCTTTGGGTAAAGTTACTCACCTTTCGGTTCATGTATTGATTCACATTTTTATCTAGCTCAGCGCTCAGTCTTGCCTACAGGACTGTTTCAAAACACCCGTCAGACACCCGCAGAAATG